GGAACACGTTTGCCGCAAAAGGGACCCCCCCTCCCTCCCTCTGGTGCGCACAGAAAGTCGCCAACCGGAGGGGAAAGGGGGGGGGGGGGGGGGGGGGAATGGGCAAAAGAGCAGCAAATACCTGGAAGTGATATCATGTCAGCATCATCAATTTGATGTCAATGTTTTAATTTTTTTCCTTAAAAAGAAAACAGAACAAAGAACAAGGAGAGAGAGAAAACTTGAAACCCAGTAACTAATTAAAAAAAAAGTTAGGAAACATATAGAGTGGAAATAAAAATATTAACAACAGTGGTGGCAGATCTACACATAAGCTTCTATAAAATGTTTTCTAATAGCCACAAATATGTCTATGTATAAAATCATCCCCCCCTATTCCCACCCCTTTCCTCACCCACTGGTTGCCACACCCCACTAGGAAATATGTCCAATGTTCTCTGTGAATGTGTGTAGTTTCAATCATGCAGCTTTGAAAAGATTAATTATGCACCACAGACAAAACAAATTAAGGAATGGGAATTAAATCTGCAGTGAAATGACCCAGAGCATTGCCTCTCATTTCCTATTTACATGGGCAGCAGTTCCCCCAGGCAGGCATGTGTAGTCTATTTGAAGCCATCAGAATAGATTAATATTTTTGTTAACAGTGTTTTTAAAAAAAAAATTCAGAAATTGTACAAGTTTACCACATTTAAAAACAAGGTATGAGTCCAAATTCTTCTAGGTTATAACATTCCCACAGAAGGCCAGCCTCTAGGGCAGTGGTGGCGAACCTATGGCATGGGTGCCAGAGGTGGCACTCAGAGCCCTCTCTGTGGGCACACGTGCCATCGCCCCAGCCAGGCCCAGACCATCATTAAAGTGTCGAATTCTCTGCCAAGTAATTTTAAGTAAATGAAAGCATTTGGGATTGCTTTCCTTACTTTGTTTGGATCATCTTAAGTTAATATATGAGTTGTTTTTTCTAAAGTAAAACCTCAGTATTCAGATTAAATTGCCGTGTTGGCACTTTGCGATAAATAAGTGGGTTTTGGGTCGCAGTTTGGGCACTCGGTCTCTAAAAGGCTCGCCATCACTGCTCTAGGCCAACTCTGTCCCCCAGATCAATTTCATCTGGAGGGAGGCCCTACCAATTTCAGTCCAGGGGTGAAAAGAACAGTCAGTCATGTTTCCACACCTGAGGAAACCAGGAGAGTCATCTAGTAGTAAGGGACAGCACTTTAATAGTACATCTCTCTTGTGCATTTAACATATATGTAAATGTACATATTTTTCTTAATATAAAATGTTATGCCCAAGCTTATGTGCTCTCCAGCTGCGAAGTCCTTTTTCCTGCTCAGTGGCACCCCATTTTATTACGAAATCCCAGTCTCTGATTATTGTCTGGAGAACAGAGCGCCTCCCCCTCCCACTATTCCCACTATTATTTCTTACAACATTTGAAGAGACAGAGAGAAAATGACAATGGGGAAAGCTGGCCAGACACGGGCTTTTCTCCCGAAGACACGACTCATTCCAGGAAGAGGGCCCTCAGTTGCCCTGTGCAGAGGACCTGTCTGTGTGCTGAATCACTGCAAGGGAACGGAGAGCAGGCACTAGCGCACACCGGTGCGCCACCCCTCATCTCCACCTGTACAGCGTGAAGGTGCAGGGGGAGTGTGCCTGCAGGTGGACTCTCAGCAACGTTTAGAAAGCACCATCACTGATCACGGGGAGAGCGGGCAGACACACAGGCACTGCCTCCACGGGTTCACACTGTTTAGATCATGTGGAGGCCCACTCCCCCTTCCCCATAGGGTTGCCAACCTCCAGGCGGTGGCTGGAGAACCCCCCAAAAGACAACTGCCCTCCAGGCAACAGAGCTCAGCTCCCCTGTAGGAAACGGCTGCTTTGGACGCTGGACTCGACGACATTATACCCTGCTAAGGCCCCTCCCCTCCCCAAACCTCACCCTTCCCCGGCTCCACTCCCAAAATCTCCAGGTATTTCCCAACCCAGAGCTGGCAACCCTACCTCCCCACGCGGTGAGTAAATGCAAGGACCGGTCATCTGCATCGGGCTGCACATTCATATTATCCCGTCAAAGGCCCGTGCCTTAAGACCACTTTCTTGTGGGCACCCCTCGCCTCTGAGTGTTTCCTTAGGGCTTTTGTCAGCACGCAGGAGGACTTGAAAATTATCATTACAAAGATAGTGATTTTGGAGCCTGATATACATACTCTAGGCTAGAAGTCCATTTACCAACCAGGGTAACATGGGGAAAAGATAGTGGCACAATTACTCAGAAAAAGCTGGCTTTAAAACCCTGCACAATCATTCACAATCTCTCCTCTCAGCCTCAGTTTACCCACCCATAAATGGGTCGATTCATCTACCTGGCAGGGATGAAACTATTACCACTTTGCACTCTTAAAAAAAAAACTTATACAGACACAAGATAAATTCATATTCTTTGAAGACATCAAGATAAACAATTTATTTCTAATTATGGGAATAAAGGACAGAACTTCTCACGAGTCTCCTTCCAGAAAGCTGAGAAATCTATTCTGTGAGTGAGCTGTCAGGGAACAGACAGACAGCTGGCCTAATAGGAACCAAGCTTCCTCCTCCAACCCACTGACAAATAGAACTACTTTAAGCTAAGTGGTCCTGATTTTTCTTTACAAGGAAGCCAAGTTAAGCCCAAAGTACTTTCTTTCTTTAAAACCTTGTATTTATTTTCTCAGAAGTCCCAGCCTGGCTTGAGAGGGTGGCAAGGCCAAGCAGTTACCATGGCCTCCAGACTGGCACAGGGCTCACCACCCCAACAGTGAGGCCACCCTCCCTTTCCATGGGGGAATCTGCCTGAAGCTCGTAAGATAACACCTTGAGGTGTCTTGTCACAAACAACAAAGAATTCTCCAAACAAAGATTTTTTTTTTTTGCCCTGAAAAGGAACACAACAGATAACAGGAGACTGCACCAAGAGGTATTACGGCCTGCCTGAAGCCGCTGAATGAACCAGTCGGTGTGCCACTGTTCCAAGACCAGGGCCAGCGTACACTCCATGCTAGGGTTGCCAAGCTCCAGGTGGTGGCTGGAGATCCCCTGCTATTACAACTGTTCTCCAGGCAACAGAGATCAGTTCACCTGGGGAAAATGGCCACTTTGGAAGGGGGGACTCTATGGCATTATACCCCACGGAAGTCCCTCCCCCTCCCCAAACTCCACCCTCCTCAGGCTCCACCCCCAAAATCTCCAGGTATTTCCCAGCCGGAAGCTGGCAACTCTACTCCATGCAGGCAATTCGCTGACTATGTGGCAGATGGAGGAGGGACGAGCAGGCCGGATCCCAAAGCCTTTCTGTGCATTGTGCTACAGGCAGACTTCTGGTTTAGCACAGGGAGGTCAGGGACATGACCAGCAAGTGTGATCACATGAAGCTTCCCTCTACTGAGCCAAGACACCGGCCTATCCAGCTCCATGTTAAGAACACAAGAGAAGCCATGTTGGATCAGGCCAATGGTCCATTTCATCCAACACTCTGTGTCACACAGTGGCCAAACGCCAGGTGCCATCACAAGGTCCACCAGCGGGGCCAGAACTCCAGAAGCCCTCCCACTGTTGACCCCCCCAAGCACCAAGAACACGAAGCATCACTGCCCCAGACAGGGTGTTCCATCCATACCTTGTGGCTAGTACCCACAGAGGGACCTCTGCTCCACACATTTATCCAGTCCCCTCTTGAAGCTGTCTATGCTTGTTGCCGCCACCACTTCTTGCGGCAGTGCTGTCTCCTCTGACCAGCAGCAGCCCTCCAGGGTCTCAGGTCAAGGTCTTTCACATGACCTATTAGAAATTCATTCTCTTCCTGTTCATTCCCCATACTTTATGCATTAGTATACGAACACAGAAAACATCCTGGGGGCCTGATCCTTTTAACAGGAATTGCCAGGGACTGACCTCGGGACCCTATGCATGCAAAGCAGATGCTCTACCACCGAGCTGTGGCCTCATCCTCCTTCCCATCTCCCTTCTTATTCTCCCTGAACTGAGAATGAACAGGACATGTCTTTGCCAACACCAATTCTCCCTTTGTTATTCATATTTTTCTTATCTTTTAGGAACTACAGACACAGTAGCAGACTGGCCTCTTGATTGTTGGTCCACCACTACAAGAAAGCATCTGGCCTCTTCACAGAGAAAAACTGCAGTGGGACAGGAGGCGGTGCACAGAACCTCCAAGTTCAGATGCAGTATATCTCAGACATAGGGTATGTGATGCTGGATATTACACCTGCCTGCCCTGCTTGTGGAATTCCCAACAGAGTTTGTCTGACCAGACCCCTTGGCCTGACAGGCAAAGTTTTTCTTGGGTCCAATGCCCAAGAGATGGGCAAAAGTGAAGAAGAGTTGGTTGCCGATGAAGAAGAACACGACACACGGCGACAGCCTACATCTTCTGCTCGTGGAACTCAGTTCTCCCTTCTGTGTGGCAGACTGGTGGAACCCAAGTGGAAACACGGAGCTTGGGGGGGAAATCGTGTCCGTCCAGCAGCTTATCCTTCCAATTCCAGAGCTTGATTCTAGTGGCCACAGGAAGAATGGCAATTGAGCAGGCCACGAGCCACCAGCTCTCAAGGACTCCCAGCTACAGCTTGTCTGTCAAAACCAGGTCCTCAAACATCAGGTACTGCTTTACTGGTGGAGGGAGGTCAAAGTCTCTGATGGCGTGGAGCCTCCGGTGGCCGAGAGCCGTCCGGATAGAGAGGCGGCTGAGGTGCTTGAGGGAACACGGCTGCCGGCGGCAAGACTCCATCCAGGAGATCAGGGCAGGCTGCGAGACAAGGCGCTTGGGAGGGGCCCCAGTTCGCTGCAGCGGGAAGCAAAGAAACAGCACGGGACCTGTGAGGGAAGGCAGCTCAAATGCACAAGGTTGTGCAGTCCAGCTGGGGAAATGGGGGTGGGGCACATCCCGTGGAATAAGAGCTCCTCTGATTTAAATTAAACAAAAATGGGAGCTTCCAACCGATTCCTTAGAGAACTTTTAGTCACCCGATTTACCGAGATATTTTTTGAGACCACGAAGGAAGTGCAAAATTAACTGACCGTTTAGTAAAAAGTAGGCACCCCCGGTTGTTAGAAGGAAAGGCCGTCAATATCTGAATGTTTTCGTTTAGACTCCATTATACTGTTGGGCACCAATCTCAAAGTAGCTTCAAAAACAAGTGTGCATTTATAGGGCCACCAAATGCCACTGAAGTCTTCCAAATGTTCTCTTGACCCCCCCCCCCCAACCTTCATACTACATTTGGGGCCCACGCTAGACTTGCCAGGTGCCTGCTAATGGCAGGCAGACGGCCAGAAAAATGGGAAGGGGGCAATCTTTATCTCTGCGCAATGACATCGCTTCCAGCATGACCTGGAAGCACCAGCATTGTACTGGGGTGAAGTTGTAGCACTCACCCAGAAACTCTGTGGAGTTTTGGGGTGAGTGTTCGTGTGCTGCCCTGGGTTGTACCAGAAATGACATCATCATGGCCCAACAAGGATTCTTCCTCCTCACCTCTCGCTGGTTGCCAGGTATGCCCTCACACGTTTAGAAGACCGCACAGTAGATGCCTGATCAGAACAGCTATCCTGCTAGTATCAGGCCCGTAGCCTGGATTTTTTGGCTTGTGGGGCATATTTTGTTCTGGTGGGGCTGGGGGTAGACTCCTGTGCAGAGGTGATTTTCTGTCCTGTTGTTGGTCTCATGGTCAAAACAGGTTAAAAAAAATCTTGCCAGGCTGTCCTTCTCTGCCCTAATAATTCATGCCTTTACAATAATAATTCATGCCCATGACAGTCCTTGCGGAAAAACTGGAGCTCCCGTGATCAATCAAAATGAGCTTTTTACATTTTTTTTTTTTGCAAACTCTGATCAAACAGAGTATACACTACCTCATTGTAGATCATTTAAAAATTATTTCTAGAAGCAAGGCCTTGTGGGGCCTAGCCGATGCATGATGGGGCCATGCTCCCTCTAAGCTGTGGGGTCTTGTGAGCAAAACTTCTATTTTGTGAGCTCCTAGCATTAAAGTTGTGAGTGAGCAATTTGGCCGCTGCATAAATTAGTTTGCTCGGGAGCCATCCTTCCTGAGCGAAGGCAAACGTGTGAGCCGGAGGCTAAAAACCTGTGAGCTAGCTCACACTAACTCAGCTTAGAGGGAACACTGGCCCCGAGAGGCCCCACCATAGCTACAGGCCTGGCTACTATCCTCTAGTGGCACCTGGCCTGGCATCCTGGCCCACCCTTAGAGATCTGGACTCCCAAATTTTGTTCTCCTGTCTCAGCAGTCTTGTGCTGTTAATCCAAAACCACACTGATAAAAAGTTGGCCTTCAGCAATCAGCTACAGATTTAGAGGATTACTCTATCGATTAAACCTTGCGGAGAAAATAACTGCGAGGGATTCCCACAATGTGGAATCGGATGTTACTCCTTTGGGATTATCAACAGGCTAACCCCCAATTCCTCAGTCCTACTCACTCATTTTGCCAGTGAGGGAATGGATGGAAAGCATTTTGTTGGCCAAAGGATGTTTCCCAAACAATGCCACATTGTCCCAGAACTGGGTGGAGAACGTTCCCTATAAGAAACTTTGTCACTCTTCCCACGGAGGGCTAGGCCTCCTTACAGCAAACCCTCTGAACAGACATTCCCTCTGACCACCAGGTGGACTGTTTGTAGGAAAGGAACTGGGAAGGACAAGGACAGGATTAGAGGATAGAGCTTAGCGGTACATAGAGAGAGAAGATTAATAAAAGAGAATACCAAGAAGAGCTTTGGTTGGAAGGTAAAAGGTAAAGGTTCCCTTGCTCGAAAGCCAGTCGAGTCCGACTCTAGGGTTGCGGTGCTCATCTCCGTTTCAAAGCCGAAGAGCCAGCGCTGTCCGAAGACGTTTCCGTGGTCATGTGGCCGGCATGACTAAACACCGAGGCGCACGGAACGCTGTTACCTTCCCACCGAAGTGGTACCTGTTTATCTACTTGGAATTTCTTGCTTTCGAACTGCTAGGTTGGCAGGAGCTGGAACTAGAGACGGGAGCTCACTCCGTCATGCGGCACACCCGGGTCTCGAACTGCTGAACTATCGGCCTTCCACAGCCTGCAGTTCAGCGTCTTAACCACCTGAGCCACCGCCAGGCATGTAAACTGAGCCACGTGAAGCAATGATAATAATAATAATCGTGGACACAGTGACACTCCGAACTGCATCTCAGCCAAGGGCCAACTGATACTTGCCCACATTCTCCTGGTGCAGCATGGAACGGCCTCCACCAGGGAGCAGCTGCGGCCTTCCAGCTAGACTTGACCTGACCCCTACCACACAACACACTTCTCTGCTCAGAAATTAACCACTTTGGATGTGTTAGAGTAGATGCTAGAATCTGATTCTAATGTGTACAATCTTTAGATGGAAAGGCAAGTGATACACGATGGAGGAAAGGGCCATTCAAGTGACAGGGTTTCCAAGGAGAGAGACGTTCAGAGGTGGTTTGCCATTTGCCTGCCTCTGTGTAGTGACACTGGTCTTCCTGGGTGTCTCCCATCCAAATACTGACCAGGGCCAACCCTGCTTAGCTTCCAAGATCTAACAAGATCAGGCTAGTCTGGGCCATCCAAGGCATGGCCGTTGATATGTAAAAAAATAGTTGGACAAGCTGGGGTTAGGAGAAGCTGGGCAGGGCTGGGAGGTTGAGAGTGAAACACGTTCAGCGAGCAGGTGCTGCGGAAAGGATCTGTTATTGAGAGAACCATATGGAATCACCCATGGTAGAAGGGGCTGATCTTGGTAACAGGGAGGAATGATTATGCTCTGCTCAGGGGTGTCCGCGGAGTGTGGCAGGAACACAGGAACAGAAGGGCCTCCATTCACAATAGGAGCACTAGGCTGAGCGACCAAGCCTATAGGAGGAGTTGGAGCTAGGAAAGGCCAGAACGGCCACCCCGGCCTTCAGCAAGGAGCTACCTTGTTCCTGTAGGAGATGCAGGCCCCTGCTTGCACCAGCAACCGAATGCACTCCGTCTGTCCGCTGCACGCAGCCAAGTACATCGGGGTCACTCCCCAGTTATCCTGCAGGTTCACGTCTGCGCCATGCTGAGAGGGGTGGAAAAAAAAAACTCATCAGGATCTCTAGATCACAGGTCCCAAACCCCCAATCCCGACTGTTTGCAGCTGTATTACGGGAACCAAGCCCAGGAGCTCGGCTAGTGCTGGGTGTCTCTGTCAGGAAGACAAGAAATGGCCCTTGTGGGCAACAGAGCGAGGTGGCCAGGAGCAGTCAGAGGGGCATTACCTGGATCAGCAGCAGGGTGCAGTCTGGGAAGAGGCCGATGGCAGCGTGGAGGGGGGTCCCTCCGTGTTTACAGCACGTGTTGACGTTGGCCCCGTGTTCCAGCAGCAGCTCCACCGAACGCCTCTGTCCTTTGTAGGCAGCCCAGTAGAGCGGCGTCTTGCCGTAATAATCTTTCCTGTCCACCAGCTCCTTGCCTGCAACCAAAGGGCAATGGACACCTCTGAACAGCACAGAAATAGCAGCTTGGGAAAATTTAGCCAAGGGAGCCCCAACGTGGTGCCTACCAACACCCAGGGCTTTTTTTGTAGAAAAAGCCCAGCAGGAACTAATTAACATAATAGGCCACACCCAAGAGCAGAAACTCATTAGCATATTAGGCCACACCCCTGACAGCACAGCTCATTAGCGCATTAGGCCGCACCCCCATGTTACCAGAAGTGTGGTCATCCAGCCACATGCACCTTTTGCTTCTTATTCTGTTTACCTTGTTTGTTGTCAAAACCCAGAGCTTTTTTTAGCAGGAACTTATTTGCATGTTAGGCCACACACCCCTAATGTAGCCAATCCTAATGAGTTTCTGCTCTGGGGTGTGGTCTATTATGCTAATGAGTTCCTGCTGGGCGTGGCCAACTCAGGAGTCAGCCGGAACTCCGTTCCTGTGCGTTCCTGCCCAAAAATAGCCCTGCGCAACACCTCACCTGGTGTCCCCTAGGTGATTTAGGAAGTGTGCAGGGCTAGGTGGGCTTTTGCCTCAGCAGGGCTTGGAGATCTGATTGGCTGTGCAGGTTTTTGAAAAGTTGCTTTGGCAGCAGCTGCCACCACAACATGAGGATCTTATTTTATTTATTTAATTAGGCTTATATCCGGCCTTCCCACAGTGTAGGATCAGGGCGGGTTCCAGCTTGCACATCTTCAATTTATGCTGATTTAAATGTAAAATCTGTGAAACCATCACATACTAAAACAACAATGCCTCAACAGAAAAACATTTTGGTCCCAGCCCGGCTTCACGGATCTGTAGTCACTGGAGGGGATGCTAATCAAGTGGATGCCCACTGCCTCAACCAAAGGCCTGACAGAACAGCTCTGTCTTATAGGCCCTGCAGAACTGTAATAGGTCCCACAGGGCCCTGATCTCGTAAAATAGCTCATTCCACCAGGCAGGGTCCAAGTTGAGCCAAGTCGGACATCTCTAAGGCCAGGGACAGTCAGGAGATGTTGATTCGTAGAACGCAATGTCCTACAGGGCTCATATCTTCACTGCATGACTGAAGGTGCAAGCAAGAATATATATTTTAAACAGTATGTTCACCACAGGCCCTGAGCCAGAAACTGTCTATGTTCTGCCGGTCACACACCTGAGGTTTCCAGGAGTTGCCTCAGCTTTTCCGTGTTGCCGCGGCTGGCCTCATAGTGCAGTTCCGTCCACCGATAGTTGTAGCTGGGTGCTGCCTGGTAACGCTTGACAGGTGGCCGCGTGTCCAGTTGGACCCTGTTTCCATAGGGCGGTCTGGAGAGGGAACTGATGTAGAAGCCCATCTTGCCAAATGGACAGCCTCCCTCTGTCCACATGGAGAGGCCTCTGGCGCATGGATTTGGGCAGTGCAAAGCTCTGGGCTGATGACGTTTGCTGAGAGTGGAACAAGGATGGGTCAAAGAGGTTGTAGCAATGGCAGAGAATAATGATATTTAGCAAGGTAACTCTCAGGGCACTTGATATGTATAAATCACAGACGTTCTTAGGACAGCCCTGTGAGGTAGGCCAGTATGATTATCCTTGTATTGCACATGGGGGACTGAAGAAGAGTGGCTTTCCTGAGCCTCTTAGTAAGTTTGTGGCTGAAATAAATATGAACCAACAACTTCCTGGATTGTAGCTCAGCAGCTTAGCCACTTTGGGTTCATTCCTCTGATGCTGTTGAATTTGCAGCAAGGCTCAGCCCTGAAGATGTAAACTAATAATTAAGAATAAGGTGTCCCTAAACATGTGCAAAGTGCATTTTCGTCACAACCAAATACAACCACTCTCTTCTACCCCACCCTCCTGCAAACCCCCTTGGAGTTATGGGATAGGGCCATGTTTCACTGGACTTGAGCCATGCTTCACCTGTGTTTTTGGCCGTCTCCAGCCACCGGACCACCTTCCTCCTGTGCTAGGAACCCTTCTATGGCTCTGCCATCAGATTCTCCACTTTTCGCAACAGACACAGAGAGCTCTTTACTTAAATTATCATTTGAGCGTGGGGGTTCAAATGATATGGTTAGCACTTGACCATGTATACGGACTTTGACTTGAATGGTATAGAAACTTTGTGAACAAAGTGAACCCAAGAATTTGCTTTTTAGTTTTCAGATGTGGAACATGTACTGTTCCTTACGGTTCCAGCATTGTTCTCACTGTCCCAACCTTGAGGAAGATTGTTGATGAATAAACAGCTTCATGCCAAGAACAAATTTGCCCTAAAGCTACTATTCATCAACTTTTTTTTTGGGGGGGGGGGAGGTCCTCTGGCATTCTATTATTGTGGGAGAAAAAGTTCCCTTTGTTCACCTTCTCCAAACCATGCAATATTTGTAAACATCATGCTCCTCTTCTTCACTATATTTTCTTTTCTAAAGCATTTAACACTTTAGGTTTCTCCAGAGATGCAGTGGTAGCCACTGGCATAGGTAAAGGTTTCCCTTGCTCGAAAGCCAGTTGAATCAGACTCTAGGGATGCTCATCTCCGTTTCCAAGCTGAAGAGCCAGCGCTGTCCGAAGACTTCTTCGTGGTCATGTGGTCGGCATGACTAGACGCCGAGGCACAAGGAACACTGTTACCTTCCCACCGAAGTGGTAACTTGCAATTTCTTGCTTTCGAACTGCTAGGTTGGCAGTTGGCAGGAGCCAGAGACGGGAGCTCATGCTGTCTTGTGGCACTCGGGTCTCGAACTGCTGAACTACCGACTTTCCAGTCTGTAGTTCAGCTTCTTAACCACTTTAGCCACCGCAGTCCTAGACAGCCACTGGCATAGATGGCTTTAAAAGGAGGTTAGAGTTGTGGAGGAAACCTCCATCAATGGCTACTAGTCTCTACTAACCAGTGCCTAAACCTCTGAATCTAAGAGACATCATCAGAGAAAAGCCTGAGCTTCTATATCCTGTTTGTTGGTCCTCCAGGGCAGCTGCTTGACCATTCCACGATACAGGATGCTGGACTAGATGGACCAGTGGTCTGATCCAGCAGGGCTCTTCTCGCGTTCCTAGAGCCTGCGTTCCAGCCCCCCCATCATTTTGGCTACCCATTTTCTGCACTCCTCCCAGTTCCAGGGTATCCTTTCTGATAGGGGGCCGGCCAAAACCGCGCAGACTGCCAGACACTATTCCAGTTGAGGGAAGAGAACCGTGGCGCAGCAAGAGAGCTGCACTAGGCAATCGCTCCCGCTCCCGCAGCGCAAAACCCGCGCCCGGCTCGCTGAACCACCAGTCCCTCTCTATGTCTGCGTTTCGCAGCGGCGCCTTGCACTGCAATTCCCCCACAAGGACCCGGGCCGTGGCCACACACACCTCTGACCTCATCGCTATTGTCTCTCTGGATGCCAAGATGGATCTTCGCGGCGGGAGCGGCCGGATCCGCGGGCCCGGCTTTGCTGCATCTCCGCCGGGGCTTTTCCTCCGCAGCCCACCTCGCCCCCAGCGCGCCCACCTCCAGTCGCCATGCCGATGCGCTTACCTGTCTGCACTACGTTGGGCGTCCGCGGCTGCAAACCTCTTCCTGGCTCCGGGATCGGAGGGCAGCCATCGCCAAACGCAGCATGGCTTTGGGGAGGCTGGGAGTTGTAGGCCCTCGTCGGCGCAGGCGGGGAGCCGAGAGAGCGCTTGTTAGGGAAACCTCCTCCTCCTCCTCCTCGTCACGCCTCTCACTCCCCCCCAGCGCAGAAGTATCCCCAGGAGGACAGCCTCTCTAGCCGGATTGGTTCCTTAGCCAACCGATCGGGCAAAAATATGTGGAGCCATTCCCACTCAGTACCCCGTCTTACAAACCAGGGGAATGGCACTGGCAAGCTCACTCACTCGTCGGTTTGCGGAGATAACCTCTTTTTCCCCCCCCTCTTTAGGCAGCGGTGGCGGAAGATTACTTGTTTTGCAAACAAAAGGCCCATCTGGATAGCGCATTGCATTCGTCTCGCCAGGCCAAGGAGCTCAGGATATCATAGATAGGTGGTCCCCTTCCTTACAACAACCCTATGAGGTAGGCGAGGGCTAAGAGATCACTCAGGGAGCTTCATGGACAAGTGGAGATTTACTAGGGCTGCCAGGAGATCTCCTGGAATTACAACCGATTTCCAAACTTTTGAGATCAGTTACCCCGGAGAACGTAGCTGTTCTCCACAGGATCCCAAATCCAATGCTTGCCGGGTTTGATCCCAGAGGGACAGAATTCATGCAATGAATGCAGTCTAATCTGTGCCCTTGTAGAGTGTTAAGAACTGCTTGCAAACTGTTAAGAACTACTGCAGTTCTCAGTAGTTCTGGGAAAGAGGTAATCATTTAGTGTCGTTTTGTGCAGAAAAGACCGGCAACACACAACTAGAGAGGAGTAGATAGAAGGCTCATTTGTGCTGGAACGACCAGTGGGGCTGGACTGGGGTGCCACAGGGAGACAGGATAGTGTGATCAAAATACTGCAGACAGGTATTTCCAACTATGTGTATGGAATGTTTTTGTGCAAAGTCTTCTGCTTTGCTTTGTAGATCAGAATAAGGGACAGAATCCTTACATACATAGACCTCCATAGCTAAAACCCCCAGATTATTCTCGTATAAGAGATACCTGAAAAAACATTTGATTACCTGTTTTCCTCTTGAGCCTTTTCTTCTAGACTAAAGCCTTGTTACATGCCGGAGCTGTGTGTGCATTAGAGCATATTACAGTGTTGCCAACTCTGGGCTGGGAAATTCCTGGAGATTTGGGGGTGGAACTTTGGGAGGGTAGGGTTTGGTGAGGGACCTCAGTAGAGTATAATGTCAGAGTCCACCCTCCAAAGCAGTCATTTTCTCCAGGGGAATTGATGATCTTGGTTGTCTGGAGATCAATGGTAAGAGTGGAAGATTTCCAGGCACTACCTGGAGGTTGGCAATCCTCAGGGAAACTGATCTCTGTAGTCCAAAGATCAGACAAAGCAGTCATTTTCCCCAGGGGAATTGATGATCTTGGTTGTCTGGAGATCAATGGTAAGAGTGGAAGATTTCCAGGCACTACCTGGAGGTTGGCAATCCTCAGGGAAACTGATCTCTGTAGTCCAAAGATCAGCTGTAATTTCAGTAAATCTCCAGGCCTCACCTGGAGCCTACCGACTCTAAGCAT